ACAAACATGCTGCAATGCCAGGTATTAGGTTCCCTAGTCACGCCTCATGCTTTCTTAATGTTGAGCCTTTTGTCATTGATCCCCTTCATTTAGAGAAATGCCTTTGCCCGTCTCCCTGGACCCAGTCACTGCCCTACTTCATGTTCAAATAAAACGCGAATCGCCCATGGTTCCCACAGTTGCGAGTCAGTTCTCTACCCTCAGAGCATGGAGACTAGACCCTGCTCGACACTTTCACCTTCCTCTTAATTATAGCCACCAACGTCAATGGCCCACTTACGCCACCACACAAGTTCATTCTAAATATGGTATCCCATTACCTCTACTGCCCTATGCCACATCTGGAATTTATCTGACACAGAGTTGGTGTCTGTGTGGCCTTCAAGATGAAAAGCCAGGAGAGCTGGGTGAGAGGGTCAGGTGGGGAGCAATTCAGGCCAGGTTGTGGGGGTCTTTATAGAGAAGGTGGCATCTCGGTTGAGTCTGAGAAGATGGGCAGACCCTTGGTGACTACTGCCTGTGTGAATTTTAAACTCATAAGGCATCACTAAATACTCCAGGATGCCCACTGATTCGTACCCATGAGAATGAGAACTGCTGAAGGAAACAGGGAGCTCATGTTGGTTTAGCCAGTAGGTTCTTTCCCATGAGAACGGGCAGAGGGTGAGTTGCACTGGCACCAGAGAGCAGCTCAGGGAGCAGGTGAACAGCTGAACTGAGCATAACCCACATCCACCACCAGACCAGACTTCCTCTGCTCAGATCGAGGCCTCACTTTGCTTGGTGCTTCATAAACACTGACAGAATTTTCCTCGCCAGCTCTATTTCTATACTATTCCCCCTTTCTTGCCCTTCTTACCCTGCACATTAGAAGCACCTGGGGAGCTTTCAAAAATCCCGAGAATTAGGCCAGAACCCTCATCAACTAAATCAGATGTCCTGGAGGGGGGCCTCAGGCATCGGGATTTTTGAAAGTGCTCAGATGATTCTATCGTGCAGTGAGGCACGATATGCAGTATTATACTGATAGAACTGTTGTAGCCGACTTATCATGTCGGACTGGGAATCAGACCAGGCCAACCTTTCCTGCTTTTTGCCCTGATAGCCAGCGGTTCCCTTCCTCCAGAAGCTCTGTGATTTCACTTATTCTCTATGGTGTCGATTAACTGAAGGCCCAGTTCTCTGAGGGAGGCCTTCTCCTCCCCAAATAGAAAACCTCAGGTGGGAACTCATGGTCTTTCAGCAAAATAAGGTAGAACAAAATGCTTTTGACATGTATGACAGGCAGAAGGAGCTAGTGTTTTACCTTTCACCATCAGTGTTTGACAGAAATGAGGTGGCAGGCAGCTTGAAGCGAGTGGGGAACAATTTGTCATCATCACACACACACACAAACTTTCCTAAGCGCTAATTTCTTTGTGGTTCACTACACAGGTCTGTGATGTGATTCAAAAATGAATCAGAGGCCCTCCCTGGTGGCGCAGCAGGTTAAAACACTGCACTGAGATTCTAAAGCCGCTTCCGCATGAGTTCAATCCCCGCCTGTCCCGGAGGCGACCACATGGCGTGGCAGACCTCTCCTGGCCCGCCCGCTGCTCCCCTCAGCAGTGTATATCAGTCCATCTGCCTGTTCTGCTCCCCACTCTGTCTCTGGTAAAGCCTCTCACTGGCCCTGAGTCTCTGGCCTGTACCCCAGTTCTGTATGCACAAATAAATAAATCTTTAAAAAAAAATGAATCAGAAAAATGTCAGCCCCACACACTGAGAGTCTGGGGTGGTTCATATTCTATTCTGTGTTATGTGTGGCCCTCGAGATGAAATGGCAGGAAAGTTGGGTGAGGATGTCGGGTGGAGAGCCGGGAGGTTGTGGGGGTCGTTGTAGAGAAGGTGGCTTCTCGGTTGATGGGCAGGACTGGAAGGTGGGGGACGAGCAGGGAGGGCTGGCCAGGAGATGGGCACAGCCGCCCACAGTGCGGCCGTGGGCATGGACAGGGGCAACAAGTAGCCCCATCTCCTCTGGGCAGAGAATAGGCGGTGCCAACAGCTGAAATGTCCTGCCACTCTGGGAGTTTGGGAAGTGTCCTCCTGCATGGGCTGGGCTGGACCTGACAGGGTTTGAGTCTGCTGTCTGCTCTCACGCTCGTGGTCCGTGAGGTCTGCGGGGCTTGGGTGGTGGTGTGGCCGCTCCCCGAATACATTGATCTTGCAAGTTCCGCGGTAAATCACAGAAGAGGGGCCTGACGAGCTCGACTATTTCAAAGGTAACAGCATTTTCCTAGGACGTGCAACTTTGGCAATTTGCCATGTCCAACACTATTATTCAATAAATAAGGCGCTAAGGCCAAGCTTTTGCAAGTTCTGCAAGATTTGGGTCTGCGGGCGAGAAATCTCTCTGAGATGTTCATGGAGCCATCACACGCGTCATTCTGGAGTCAGAGCCGCAGCCGCCTGGCATCTGGGCCCGGGAAGCCCCACAGCTGTTGCCTGGCCCTGCCAGCGGCGTCGCCATGGCAACACCCCCTCCAGAGCGCGCGCATTCCCTGGAAACCAGCATCATTTTAAAATTAACGCAGATGATCCTAGATTGGATTCTGTGCGAGAAAAAGAAAAATTCCTGTAGAAGTGTCCTTTCTAAGGACGTGGCTGGGAGGAATGGGCTAAATTTGAGTATGGACTATGCTAAGACAGAGGGTGCGCAAACTCCTGTGTGACTTAGACTCACCCGGTGCCAATGTCAAAACACTGGCTGCTGTCCCCACCCCCACCACCCGTGACTCGGTATGGCTGAGGTGGACGCTGGGAATCTGCTTTTCTAACGAGTTCCCAAGCCGCACTGATGCTGCTGTCCGGGTTCACATGGAGAACTGCTGAATCGCACACTGGCAATGCATCAGCGTTAATCCCCTGATCCTGATCACTCTGTGCTGGTCACGTAAGAAAATACCCTTGGCCTTAGGAAATCCTGGCTGTGGCATTTAGGACAAAGGGGCAAATGGTCCAGGAAAGAAAGAAAAGGTGCAATAGGCGGATGGAGGGATGAATGGGGAGATGAGAGGGATGCTCATGCAGATTTGGAAAAAGGTAATCATTGGCGAATCTGAGAGGATAAATGGGAGTCCATTTATGTTGCTCTTGTAACTTTTCTGGGAGCTTAACATCACATTAAAACCGAAAAAAGGGCCCTCCCTGGCGGCACAACAGGTTAAAGCGCAGCACCGTGAAGCCATCGGCAGCCACTGCAGCACCAGTTCAATCCCCAGCAGAGCGGTGACCCTCATGGCGCAGCAGATGGCTCCTGTCTTCCGGCTGCTCCCCTCAGCAGTGTGTTTCAGTCAACTTGCCTGCTCTGCTCCCCACTCTGTCTCTGGTGAATCCTATCACTCCTCTGCACTTCTGGCCTGTACCCCCGTTCTTGTATGCATAAATAAATAAATCTTAAAAAAAAATAAAAACGAACATGGACAAAATGAGTGCAGGAATGGAAAATTCTAGCTTATCATCAAACCTATCCAATACAGAGACCACAAGCCTGCCGCATATGGTTATTTAAGTTTCAACTAATTAAATGAAATTTAACATCCAGCCTTGCAGTCACCCTTCAAGTGCTCCAGAGGCATCTGTGACTAGAGGTTTCTGTACCAGACAACACAAATGGACAAGGCTTGCCTGGCCAGGGAAAGTTCAAGGACAGCGCAGTGGAAAACATTTTCGGACCAGGAAAGCCTGTGGGTGACTCTGAGAAACAAAAGCAGCAGCAGCGGAGGTGGCGGCAACAGACAGGAGCAGCAGGAAGCCGCTGTCCCCCCAGTTAGATTCAGGGGACGGGACAGAAGGAAGGAAAATCACTCATGGCCGCAGAAGGTCACCGCGCGGCCGCGTGTGTGAGAGCCTGTGGTTTTACGAGCGCAGCGCGATGCCCCGCTGCCCAGCTCACGGTCGCACTGACTTCCTTCGCCAGTCCTGGGTGAGGAGAAGCAGGCATCTTGTTCTTTTTCTGGGTCCCTTCACGCTTTTCCAAGCAGAGGAGGTCCAACCTCTGGATGGGGAAGCATCTAGCACGAATGACCTGGGGAGGCTGACCTGAAGGTTTTCCGAAATTTTAGCCGGGCAGCTGGTTTCCCCGCGAGTGATACGCCAGCTCGCGGGAAAGAGGGCGGGGGTGCTTCCCGTCGTCACGCAAACTCCTTCCCACCGCGGCTCGGGCTTGGCGTCCCTCTTCTGCTTCTCCCATGCATGACACCCTCTGCTGGTCCAGAATGACCTGGACCAGCAGCCTGGTCCAAACAGGCCTACCTCCACCTTCCACGCGAGCGCCTCTTCTTCCTCCCCGCAGCATCCAGGTGAAGCGCTGAGTAATTTCACTCTGAGGTGTGGATAGCACCGGAGTCTCCCAAGGTGCACTTGGGTAAGAATGTTCTGAGGATTTTTTGAGTCAGACCCAAACCCCGTGACATGCCTCTCCCCAGCGCCTCAGAATCAGCTGCAGCTTGTTGATTTCCCTGCTGCTGCCTCCCGAGGCCTGCACTCAGCAAAATGCATGGGTTTTACTTGGACAGAGCGTGGGTGGCCGGGAACATTGCAAACACCTGACGCCAAAAATCACAAACTGATAAAGGTGAAGGAGAAAACGAGCCACAGCACCAGAACCAGAACCCAGGGGCGTTCCCTCTGCCCAGGCCTCCGTGTGGGCTTAAATGTCCACCTAAGCACAGGGCCATTGTGGGAGAGCTGGGAGACGCCTTCGCAAAGGTGGATGCTTTTTTTGCCAGTTCCTCCCTATAAAACATGTTCCTTCTGAGTTTGCCAAAGGGGAGGAAACCTTTATGAGCGACAACTTGTGAGTTACTTGGAGGCGTTCATTCTTAGCTGCAAGACAGTGAGTCCAGCCATTAAAGTTCCGATTGTGGTTTGATAGTGGAAATTTTGAGATCTGTCTTTCCAGAAAGCTTCCTAGGGAGAAACAGCATTTTAAGATTCCCGATCGATAAGGAGAGGCTCACCTCACAGTACTCGGTGATTATGCAGAAGTTATCTTGCTCCACAAAGCTGGCGTGGAACTTGACGATGGCGGGGTGGTCCAGCCTGGAAAGGAGTTGAGCCTCCCGACTCGCCTGCACCGTCTCGTTTGGATTGAGTTCTCCAATACAGATTTCCTTTAGGACCTTTCTGCAGCCAGAGGGGGAGGGGTGATTAAATACAGTCATCTAGCACTGGAAAACACAAACGAATAGAGACAGACAAGGGCGCAGCATCACGGAGTCAATGCCCAGGCTGTGACCTCACGTCTCCCCATGATCCCGCCTGCCTCCCCCCCCGTCCTGCTCTGTGACACAGTCCGAGGCCACTGACTGCACCTGTGAATGGACAGTCTTAGTCACACAGGGCAGAGGTGGGGTTGCCTGGCGCCTCGGTGCTGGGGTGCTCTTCCTGTGTCTCCAGAGTCTCGTTCCTTTCTCTCCTGGTGTGTCTCGTTCTGCCTGTTTGTTTGCCCTCTGAGCTGCTTCCGTCTGCCTTTCTGTTTCTGTCCTGGTGTCTTTCCTACAGCTCTGTGTCTCTGCCGGCACTTATGTTTGCAAATATGATATAATATGATATATATAAAATATAAAAAAATCTCCTGTTCAGTATCCCTATCTGCCTCTTTCCATCTTTGACTCTCTTTGCTTTATATTCTCTCTCATCTCTAAAATGTTCCAAATTACCAATTTAATATCCATAGGAGTAATATCTCTTTTTTAAAAAAGACTTATTTATTTGTGCATACAGAACAGGGGCGGTGAGAGGATTCACCAGAGACAGAGTGGGGAGCAGAACAGGCAGCTCAACGAAGTCCACTGCTGAGGGGAGCAGCAAGCGGGTCAGCCTCTCGGTCTGCCGCGCCATGTGGGTCAGCTCCCGGGCAGGCGGGGATCGAACTCCTGCTGAAGTGACTTTAGCTTCTTAGTGCTGTGGTTTAGCCCGCTGCGCCACTAGGGAGGGCCCAGAATAACGTCTATTTTAAAACTACCCTTGGCACAGCATACTTTCATGCTAAATTGTTTAGAAGAAGAAAAAACATCGAAACTATTAACAGATAGTGAGGATCTCAGTGGACAAAAGCTCTTTGAAATTCCAAATCATAAATTTAAAAATGATGATAAGGCAATGAGGAGTGGACCCAAACACCTTTCTGCCCTTCTCAGAAAAAACAGAGTCCGATGAACCAAGCAATTATGCGGCGCAGTGCAAGCGAGGCTGCCAGGAAAAGCACTGGAGGGCTGCGTCATGTGTGCAGCCAGATTCCGCTGACTACAAGTGAGCTTCGCTGTTCATTAAGGCATGCGGCCCCCGACCCAGAGTAGACAGTACTTCAGGAGCATGTTCCTTGAGATTTACTCCCTGTGTGTATTAATGAACATGAATTTATAGTAAAAACTGTCCCTCACAGCCCGTTAGCCGGCGCACAGATTAAGCAGGTTCCTCGAGTCCTTTCTTACAGATACTGCCCGTTAGCCCTGCCACGGGCACGTCCATGAACTTCCCCCTCCAGCTGAGACGTGTCACCCAAGTCGCTGTGTTCTCTCAACTTGTTTAGGCCAGTGTTGTGTGCTCACTCCTGTAAATCCGTGACTTAAATGTGACCAACTGAAGAGGGATGAGAGTACAAGATTGTTGCTAGGAAAACCAATGCAGAGGCCACCAAAAACTTGATAGTGACAAGTCGCAAAAAACAATGTAATTGACAAAAATTCTAAAATGTTGGCTTACAATGTAGAGTTCTCATCTTCTAAGTATAGAGTGCATTGAAATCAGATTCCCATTCCACCTTAAAGGAAGTAAAATTCACTGTCTTGGGGGGGGGGTAGCATATGCAAAAAAGATGAAGGACTCTGATCAGAGGGCACTACCAGCTGGCTGAGAGAAGATGTTTTCACTAAATGGAAGTGTTTTTGTTCTTTCTTTCATTTAACATTTTTTCCCCTCTGTTTTAACCAAGTACCAACTGAAACATACTAGCTAGGAGGGCCAAAAAAAGCTCATTGTGCTATATACACTTTTTATTCATTCAGCCAAACCTTTCTTCCTAGTTGTTTCACTGTAAAAGAAGAACTTCCTCAGATACTACCCGAGATCGAACTTGTTTCTTCCTTCAGATTAAGGTCTAGAAGTTTCAATATTGCAATGGCACCATAATGTATGTATACAGTTTCACCTACCCCATTTCTCAGTGGTGAAAACTTCACACAAAAATTCTGAGTTAGGCCATCTGTCCTAGAAGCTGAGATTTTAAATAGGAAAACAGAAAAAAAAATCCTTATCGTACTCTGATTGACATTTGGCTTTTTTCTCTGACCAATAAAAGCTTTCATTCCCCCCCAAATCCCATGAGGAAAAACTTTCACTCGACTGTTTGAGGAGAAACTTTCTGACCTCAGCAAAAGTCGGTGAGCCTGCAGGCTGGCTCATTTCGCAAATGTTCTGTTCTCTTTCTTTCTAGAATCAATAATGAAGTGACAAACTTTGGTGAATGGAAATTTGGGGATAATTACAGCTAACTTCATTCCCTTGAAATGGGATCACCCTTCCTGCAAAAGGGAATGTGATATTTTTTTAAAGATTTGTTTTATTTATCTATGCATACAAGAACTGCGGTGCAGGCCAGAGGTGGAGGGGCGGTGAGAGGGTTCACCAGAGACAGAATGGGGAGCAGAACACGCAAATGTACTGATATACACTGCTGAGGGGAGCAGTGGGTGACACCGAAGAAGTCTGCTGCGCCATGTGGGTCAGCTCCCTGGCCAGGGATCGAACTCATGTTTCAGGGGCTACAGATAGCTTGATAGTGCTAAGACTTAACTCCTGCACCTCCATGGAGGTCCCAGTGATATTTCTGAGATGTTAACCAGTGGTGGTTCCCCCAGATTCCCTAGTCTGTTCACTTTTCTCCATGCCCAAGCAACATCTATTCCTTCAGAGAAAAGATGACGTCATGAATTGCAGAGAATGAGCCAGATCCCTGGCTTTCCAAAGGAGACACCCAGCAAGGCCAAAGAGAAAAGAGCTGGAGGAATGCTAGACTGGTAGGTGAGCACCCTCCCTGCCCCTAGCAGAGGAGACCCTCGGCCCAGAGGAAGTGGGGGGGGGGCGTGGGTGGAGCAAAAGAAAACCTGCTGAGCCCTGGAAAATTATAGATGTCCCTCGGCCAGATCCAGAGAGGGGCAGAGGAACAGAACCCCAAGATGGGCAGGAGAGCTGAGAACAGAATCTTTCCAAAGTCTGGCATAGAAAAATAGCAGGGCCCTCCCATTTTCTTGTGTCTAGTAAGTGGTAGCCAAGGAAAGTGCTCTAGGGGCCAGTAAGCAGAGGTAGACGGGACCCCGGGAGTCCTCTGAACCCCACGAGGTGGGCTGAATCCCAAGTGGCCACTGCATCTTAGGGAGGGCCAGTGGGCTGCAGGAGCCAGGAAACTTAGTCTAGAGAAACCCCCAACCCCACAGTCAGCCATCAGCCTCCCCCACTGCCTGGGCAGTAGCCCTGTGTGTCTTCAGTGCAGTCGGCCTGAAAGTGTGCCCTGTGTCCACTGGGGAAGACGGATATTACACAGATACATGCACAAGAATGTGTGCACTTGTGTTATTAAAATCTCCCAATCAAGATAAATGCAACGAAATTGGGGTAAATGAGTTCTGAGGAGCCGCCTGGTTAAGACGCCTGGACTCTAATGTGATGAGCCCCCACCACCACCTAGGGCACAGCAGCTGAGACAGATTTTATTTAGCCTCCCTTGGAGGAGACTAGTTTTTGTTTGTTTTGTTTGTTGCTTGTTATTTGGATTCAGCATTCACGTGCTTAACAAAGATTAATGGTTACACCCCCTAAGGGCTTTTAAGATAGTCTTCATTGGCCTAGCGAGGCAGCAATTATTTTCACTAATCCTCCTTTCTTAAATGGCGAACTCCCCACTTTTTGTAATTGACAAGGAAATACAGTTTCATTATAGAAAATTTTGAATAATAATAATAATAATAATAATAAAAACAGAGGGAACTCATTATCCATGACCCACTGGAGATGATCAGCATTCACATTTTTTTTTTTAAAGATTTATTTATTTTTGCATACAGAACTGGAGTACAGGCCAGAGGCTCAGGGGCGGTGAGAGGCTTCACCAGAGACAGAGTGGGGAGCAGAACAGGCAGATTGACGAAGTACACTGCTGAGGGGAGCAGCGGACTGTCAGGAGAGGTCTGCCGCGCCATGTGGTCACCTCCAGGGCAGGCGGGGATCGAACTCAAGCAGAAGTGACTTTAGCTTCATAGTGTGTGCTTTAACCTGCTGCGCCACCAGGGAGGGCCCTCTATCTCTTTTTCAACAGGCAAAGCCAAAGAGTTCACACAGTTTGCCTGCTGCTCTGTTCACGAGGCATCATCACAGCATTCAGTGGTCACTCGGGGCTGCCCAGCGTCTGTAGGCAGCTACCCGACACCGCAGTAGGCCCTGGTCTATCCTGGGTGATGAAAACAAATATCTAGATTCCCTACTCCCCTTGAGTTGGGGTGCAGTGTATGACCTAAATCCTGCCGTCAGTAGCACCCACCCAAGACTGTGCCTTGGGGGTGAGCTGTGTGTCGGCACCGGGTGGGCATCAGACTCCCGCTTGCTAATACCAGTGGCATAAGAAATAGCGGCCTGGGTCCGTGGGTGCAGGCAACTGAGGGGCATCGTCTGGTTGCCCTTGCAAGAGACTCAGCCTTCAGCTGCTCCCTGGCCCTGAAGCTGCTGCTGGGTGCTAGCCGGGTTCTGGAATAAAGCTTTCTGCTTTAACTGAGGTGCCACGCTGGCTGGTTCTGGAAGCCTGGCCCCATGCAATTATTCAGCACACAGCACAAATCACAGCCAACACTTTGGGGTATGGAAGCTGAACCTCCAAAAGTTTGACTCAAGTAGGTTAATGTTTATTGATTGATTTGAATCGCACAATTTCAGACCTTCTAAGGGACCCAAGGCCACAGTATTTCTCCATTTGGGGGTAGAAATAGCATGAGAGCAAGAAAAACCCTTCAAAAATTATTTCCTCTCTTTAATATGACAAAAAAAACTTTAAAATGTAAAGGATGTGAAAAATCCAATGGACAGAGAGTAGTATTTTTTGCACGAGATGGCGTATTGATAAAAAAAGATTGTCA